GATATACTTGAAACAGAATAATCCATCAGTTCTACAGTCTCGATGACGTAAACAAGCCCCAGTCCGGCGAAAGCTGTGGATAAAATACTTTGATCAAAGGATAGCCTTCCAGATCAATAGTCTTATGAGGATTGACCGATATATTGTGGTAGAAACAACACGTAAGGAAGTAGGTGAATAAATAGGATATGATAAATAGTGCAAGTGGCTTACAATTCAGGAAGGAGTTAGGCAAGTAATTTCGAAATCTATTTGAACAATGAGCACAAGTGCCTCTAAATCGTAGGAGACGAAGACTCTTAATAAGTAAGTGGAATTAAAGAGAAATCTTGTGATTAAGCAGGAAAACCCCTTCAATAACAAAATAAATGCTTAATTCCATATACCGTATGAAAAGAGGGAAACGACAGTAAACAGCACATACAAATTGCATATAAAGAACATGGAAATAATGTTAGTGTCCAGCTTACTTCCGTTAAAAAAAGTGAAGAATTCTGGTGCAAATGAAATAGGCTTTTGAACGAAAACTCATTCAGTTAGAAAGTTTGATTGACGTCAATTATACGTAGATACAAAATAAGAAAACAAGTGAGCTCTATGGACTATTTCATCGTAATCTCTGCACCATTTTTATAATGGCTACGTTGTGAGGTGACAAAGGGTTAAGTAAGCTGTCTGAAATTGTCCTCATTATTCTTAAGATTTTAATACATGTACTGCTTATACTGTTTAGCTGCTGTTGACATTGCTTAGAACCGAGGTCGCTTGCCTCTGGTGCAACAGCCATGGAATCACAATATTTGCTGCACCGAAATCGTACAAATTCTAATTCGAGCATCAGCAAAGTTATACACCAGTGGTTTGGGTCTTTTGGTCCTTGCCATTTGAACTGAACGCTATGCGTGAGCGCTAACGGGCATGATTACAAAGCTGTGGTTATTGTTTTTCAATATGGTGGCGTCTGTTACATAGAGAATAATACGTGGGCGCGCGTAGATATGGAATTTCTCTTCAAGTATTTAGCTCACTTGTGAGCGCAGCGAACGAGTGAGGTGTCGAGTTGAACACGAGAAGAGAAATTCCATATCTACAAGCAACAATGTATTATTTTGTTTATCATAGAAACACAATAGCCCTTTACTGATAAGAAAAGCCGACTTCATTAATGAATGAAAAAAAACGAATCGACAATCCCCGAATAACAATCGTAGAGTGCGTTGGCGCTAACTCTCAAGATGGAAAAAGAATGTTGAACCATGATTACAAAATCAACAATGGTCGTAATCTTCAATTTACAAAGTTCTCATTTATTGACTTTGTCCTTATCGACAGAAGAAGTCTTTCAGGTAAACGGCCAAAATCGGCCAGTGGCAAATCCTCCAGTTGACGATTTTCATTCTCAGCCGAGAGAAATGCTAACAGCAAAGCCACTGAATACGTAACTCGGGTTTTTCTCTTAATATATTGGTTTTCTTCCCCTTCTAGAAAAGTTTGAACCTCACTGTCTGTCAGCGATACGGATTTTTTAGTGTTTAGCCGCCATGATTTGAGAAAGCTCCGACAAACAACTTGTATTGAGAATCGGGAAGGCTTTGCCGTTCATTCATCAACTTGACCGAGTGGCGCGAAAGGCGTAACGCTTCAGCAGCTGATTGGCTATATCAACACACGTAAAAAAATACGATATTTTTTCACGTGTGTTGTTACGGCTTTTCTCAGGGCCGGAAATCCTTGTATAACACTGCAGTTTATGTGATAAAATATTGTAAGTAAATGTAAAGATGATTTTTGAGCTGTTCGGTTAAGCTTAAAAAAAAAGACCGAAACACGGTAAATTTAGTTCAGGAGATGAACCGTTGCAGCTAACAGATACATACCAGCATCTTGAGACACCACGATTGCAGCTAGAGCCACCGCAAGAATCAAAAAGGTGGTAAGAAAAGTCATTCGTACACCAAGCCACCTGGCACTCGCCAGCACCATGATGTACGACTGAGTATGAACATCTTGATATCTGAATGGAAAGAGGAAAAATTGCTTATTAAAATGGTGATACTTCAGGATAACAGATCTCAGGCACACTAATTCCAAAGGATTCCTTTGCTTAGTTGTCACTAGAACGCCACAAACCTATTTCATTTCTCTAAATTTGTTACGTTTTCCATATTTTTGCTTTTTCTATAATTTACTCTTTCAAGTCTGATGTGTTAGAGTTGTTAAAAAAACAACAACAGCATTCAAAGGTGCAATCATCGGCTTGTTTCATAGGGAATATCTTGTCAATATCTCCCAAAATTTTCAACGACAAGCCAAAATTAACCTTTTTTATTTTACCCCAGCAAAAAATGCCACTAAGACTAGTAGTTACGTACGACTATTTTTTTCAATGTATGGCTTGGCTTACCGCGACGAGCCCTCTCCTGTCTGCTTACCGTGGTTAACTGTCTATATTACGTCGCCTACATTCAATATTTTAAGAAGCATATGTGGTAGTTAAAGAGGCTTGCTGAGTCTAAAGCTATTTCACTGATCTCAATGATTACAATTAATTCAACATTGAACGTACCTGTAGAGCTCTTCCACGAAGTCTTGTTGCCTCCTTCTTGTTCTTATAGTCTCCAGCCCATTGAGAGTCTCCGAGACGTGTGAATACACAGGGCTACGGTTTATCGATTCTAACCTTTTGAGCTGCCGAGAGGTTTTTAAGCTGTACATGGAGATGTAAGCA